TTTTATGTTAAGATATCTCTCTCTGTTCTAACTTTTCGCTTTTAAATAAATTAAGTTCCGTTTAGGATATTTTTATTACTGTTTTCTACAATAGTTTTTTAAGTATACTTTTTTTTAAATAAAAAAAAAATACAGCGACAAAAAATTGTTCCAAAAGAAGCTTACTCTTAGTGTTGTTTTTAGTTGATTAAATTTTTTAGTTGTTCTTTGATCAATCTATAATCTTACATCGAGAATTTTGAATGCTTATGCATGTGGTGCTAAATTTTTCAAGCTTAATTTTTACGCTATGAAGAGAACATATTATGCATATTCATTTCAGAGTAGAATTTTTAAGTTAAGGTAATTAGAATGGTTAATTTTTTTGTTTTTTTTGGGTTATTTAGACTACTTAAGTCAAATTCATATACATCACATAAGCAAAGCTTGAATCCAAAATCTCTTGATTAGTAGTCAAATTTCCAACCAGTAGACCGAGGTGAGCTAAGTTTTTATTTATTTTTTTCTGCTCTTCTCGCTTATTTCGCAGCATATGAGGCATTTAAATTTAAAATTTAATGAAAGAAACACTATTCGTCCTTTATCAATTATATTCTAATCTATTTTTTTATATAATATTATTTTAATAAACCAAGCCAAGCCATCCAAAAAAATTCTCATGCTAGCTACGTACGGAGAAAGTTCTCAAGCTAATTTCTTTCCTAGTCATACTTTGAAGTTGGAATAATCTTGAATCACTAATCTCAAAGCATTAAAAACCCTAAATCTTAATATTCTTCTGCGGGATTTGAAGAACCGACCAGATGAAAGCTTGCATAGGAAGCAATATCTGCTACTTGCTCGGTCTTACTCGGAAACTAACCACCTAATTTTAGATTTTTTTTAATTTTTTAATTAATTTCGTATCAATGGATGAGCATAGCGCAGGAAAATTTGCTGTCCATTTGAGAGGTCTATTGGAGTGGGACCCAATTGTAAGAGCTGTATTACAATGAGAGAAAGTGCATGGGATTTTCTCTTATAGCACAAGAGGCTTTCTTTTTTTTTTTTTACAGTTTTTTTAGGATAAATTTTTTAGTACATAAATTTTAACATTTATATTAAAAAGCTGTTTTAATAAGCAATAAAAAAGCCGTCCCAAATAAAATCTAATTTCTTAACGTGGACCCGCATTTGAAGTGCAATGAACTCAACATTTGTTATATTTGTGACTAAAAATAGCTTTTATGTTAAGATATATCTCTCTCTTTTCTAACTTTTCGCTTTTAAATAAATTAAGTTTCGTTTAGGACATTTTTCTTACTGCTTTCTAGGATAGTTTTTTTAGTATAGTTTTTTAAATAACAAAAATACAGTGACAAAAAATTGTTCCAAAAGAAGCTTACTCTTAGTGTCGTTTTTAGTTGATTAAATTTTTTAGTTCTTCTTTGATCAATCTATAATCTTACATCGAGAATTTCGAATGCTTATGCATGTGGTGCTAAATTTTTCAAGCTTAATTTTTACACTATGAAGAGAACATATTATGCATATTCATTTCAGAGTAGAATTTTTAAGTTAAGGTAATTAGAATGGTTAAAAAGGTGGCAAAAAGCTCTTTTTAGAAGTTGTAGGGCATAGCCTTATATTTCCATTTGAAGAATTAAGAATTTGTACCAAATTCCATGCTTTTATGATTGGTTTTCTTTTATTTTTTTCTTTTTTTTTTTGGGTATCTAGGCTAATTAAGTCAAATTCATATACACATCACATAAGCAAAGCTTGAATCCAAAATCTCTTGATTTGTAGTCAAATTCCGATGTGAGCTAAGTTTTTATTTATTTTTTTCTGCTCTTCTCGCTTATTTCGCAGCATATGAGGCATTTAAATTTAAAATTTAATGAAAGAAACACTATTCGTCCTTTAAATACCAATCTTTATACTCCAACACCCATCTCTTCCTCCTCCCTTCCCAACTCTCTGAACCTCTTTCCTTCCTCAAATGTCCACTTACCAAGCTTCGGAAGAGCTTCGGAAGAAGAAAGGAAGAGGAAATCCTTCTCCCAAGAGAGGCCAAATCAAGATCAAGATGATGAAAGATATTCTCTCTTTCTTCATAGGAAGCAGCCAGCAAGAGGAGGAGGCAAAGCAGGACAGCAGAGAGGATTCAGCCTCTGCTTCTGATCTGATCAAAGGAACTTCTCCTACGTAAACCACACAACCTTGAATGATTCATGGCTTCAGACTGTCGCAACTTTTAATGCAGCAGAAAGAATTTAGTCCTCCCCATGTCTTTTTTAATCGTGCGGGCTTCAGAACGTCAGGAATTTTAATTTTCTTCCCTTTTACTTCTGTTATATAGTGTAAGTTTGCTGTAAAGTATGTTAATTCAGCAGAGTGTTTGATATACTGTTGAGTTTTTCTGCTTTTATGTTATGGAGTTTTCTCCATTGACGTTGTTTTGGAGAATTGGGTGTGAGGGAGGTTGAGTTTTTGTAATAACCTCTGTTACTGTAATCTGTGTTAATTTTACTAAGTTTTCTTCTTTGTCCACTTTTTAATTCAGAATTTTTTCCTTCTTTGCAATTGCATTATTTATCTTTGATGTCGACTTTCTTTTGTCAAAGGATTGTTTGGTTCCATTTGATAAACTCTTTTGGGGACTTTAAAAATTCGTTTATTTGATTTAGACAGATCTCAACACTATGCGTGCATCTTCAAACAGCTATGGGGTCGCTCGATTGCTCCACTAGAACGCCAAAAAAAAAAAAGCCTAATGGAGGTGGTGAAATTATTATGTGCGGAGACGCGAGATGCGAAGATGCTATAGTCTGAATGTCTCCGACAGCTTCATGAGGCGTCCGCAATAGAATATTTCTTAATGCAGGTGCTGGTCGAATATGGCGTCAACGTACGATCCGCTATATTATTTATTTTATTAAATAAAAAGGTTAATTAAATTTAATTTTTAAGTGTAGAATTTCATTTGTTAATAATTAAGAAATAAAAATTTAGAAACACATTATTTTTTAGGACATTATTTATTTTCAAATTATTTTATTGAGCAATAAATATATATGTTTTTAAAATTATAATAGTTTTAATTTAAAAAATGATAAATATAAATATATGATTAAATACTAAAATAAATATGAGAAAGATATAATAGGATATTCTTTTTTTGATGTTAGAATAGGATTTTGGCTGTAAAACAAGTTACTGTATTTTGGTGTATTATTGTATTTTAGAGTAAAAATTGAGTTTTGTTTTATTGGAGATGCCCTAGGATAGCTTATTTTTGCCAAATTCAATACAAAGAAAATATAATGTAAAGTAAATTATATATTATTATTATATATATATATATATATATATAATATATATACTATATATATATATATATATATATATATATAATTGTAAATTTAGGGGTTTAATTTTTTATGTTTGACTTGAAGTAAAATTAATTCAAATGTAGTTTGATTTGCTAAAAAAGGAATGCAAAAATTTAGTGTAATGGCAATGATTCACTGGTGATGATCTTACAACAAGTGTCAAGTAAAACTCTAGGAAAACTATGAGCTTACTCATCCTCCCTAATCCAAATACCCCTTTATGTAGAGAAGTAAGGTTTATTTATATTTTAAATAATCTGATCTTAATCGATCTAGCAAAATTCCCAGAACACTCAATTGCCTGACCCATATTGGAGATGTTACAACTGCAATTTTTTTTTATAAAATTAGTTATGAAGAAAGTAACTTAACTATTTTGGTTATAAAAATTAGATATATATGAGAAAATAATAAAAAAATATTAGTCAAACAAAATTATGATTGCTACGTGAAAAGTCAATCAGTGGAAAGTTGATCCAAATAAACCCCAATTCTCTTGATCATAAAACTTTTTCCCAACATTTAGATACTTAAAATGATGTCAAAATTAGGTTTCGTTTGGGACGGCTTTCTTTCTGCTTCTTAAAACAGTTTCTTAGTACAAAAAATTTATTTATTTTACTAGGAAGCTGCTTTAAGAAGCAATAAGAAAGCTGCCCCAAACAAAGCCTTAATTAAACTTGGGCTCATCAAAATACTATCGTCATGTTCGATTTGATTATAAGCATTCAAAATTTTAAAATAATTTGATGCCCCATTATCGATCTCACAAGTCAATTGAACCGTACCATACTAGCAACTAAACATCATCAAATATGAATTCAATTAAAAAAAAAAGCCACTCATAGCATAGAGAACTTACTAGCTAGTACTAATCAATCCAAAATTAAAACAACATGCGATACTCAAACCAACTCGCCAATCTACGGGACCTAAAAACCAACTGATAAATTTACTCAAAACACCCCAATATGACAACTCATCAGTGCTCAACCAAGGCAAGGGAAATCGGCTTCATTAAGACTTCATTTGGGATAACTTTCTTATTACTTTTTAGTACAAAAATTTTTAGTTCAAAAATTATCGTACTAAAAAGTTGTTTTAAAAAACAACAAGAAAGCTGTTCCAAACAAGGCTAAACCATATTTTTTTAATTCATCTATTTGGCTGCGTATAGAGTCTATCATGAAATAATGTGCATGCTGGCTTACATGATTCAAATTTAGAAATCCCATTTTTAGATCATCTCTAACCGAACTACATACCACTGTATCTCATCGGCCATTCGAACTCAAAATTACTTACCAAAGTTCGGCAGGTAAACAGTGCGACGTCAATATTGACGTCGGACTATTCACCTAACGCAAAAAAATTGGGCTAAGTGATTTGACGAAAAAGCGCACGAAGGAGGAGAAAATTGTTACCTTAGCAGAAAGCGTGCAAAAGAAGAGAGAAAATGATATTCGATTGGAGATGAATTACTGCATTTTGGAGTGGAAAATAATTTTTTCTTTTGGAGACACCCTTATAAACACTTAAACCCAAATCCAAAAATAAATTCCAACCATTTAAAAAAAAAATCCCATAATGATTACTTGTTTTTGCAACTAAACATGGCTAAAAAACTCTTAAAATCATATGTATATATTTATTTATAACACAAAAATACAGACATTTAGAGAGAAAATTAAGTATCTACTACTCTTCTCCCTCAACATTATAATTCATTAAAAAGTACCGAAACTTCTCTCTAATCACACAACAGCCGGGATTGTTGAGTTGGCCAAGGTACCATTCAAGTGAACTCCCAAAAGAAACTGCAGCTGTGTTCCCTTCGTCTTAGCAACAAAATGTCCAGCTCCTCTCACCGTTGCATAATTCAGGCCTTCACTGTACCCTTCAGAATATCCTCCAAGCTGCAAAAAAGATGAAATTTTTACTAACAATGAACCAAAAAGATCTTAATCATCTTCAAATTACAATAACAGAGAGATCATCAGCTTCCATTACATCGATCTTTGACGGGTACCATCCGTGCCAAGGGACTGTCTTTGACAAATTTAACTTCCTGATCGATAACCTCGACGACATCGGTGGAATTACAGAGTTGGCATCGCCGCTGAAGCCATGAGCTCATAATTAGTTAGGAGAAAGGAACAGAATTACTCTTCCAGTTGTGTATTATGAACTTGCCTGTAAACAAGGACTGAAATGTTGTTTGAGAGAAGGTTCTTCAAGATAGGCAATGTTGAGTTTGTGATCTCTCCATAGGCTTTAGCTACATTGCTGCAAAACAATCAAATAGTAAGCTCCATTTGGTACAATTGTGCTATCATACAATCAGAATCGCTCAACCCAACAATCACAAGGATTTAAATAATATAAAGAAATTATAATCACAAATGAATGAAATGAATGGATTAAAACAAGCGGTTTGAGTTGGGTTATAAAAGGATTTTTCATAACTCGGTTCATATGCTCAATCCATACTCATACAGAAAGTGCTCTGGTAAAATAATAAACTTTTAAGGTAGTAACCAAAATTGCTTTTCGAAGAGTTAAATAGAAAGAAATGGAACTAAAGAAAACCTTAGTTGGTAAAGTAATGGTTGTTTGATTCACTCCAAATTAAAATTCAATGTCACTTAGACTAAATGCTATTAAACTATCAATTATAGTTAAATAACTTGAAAGATCTCTTTGCAATCTATAAAGTAGGAGTGGCAATAAATGACCCAACTTGCGACAACCCTGAAAAATCTGGATTTGGATTGGCCCGTTTAATAAACGAGTCGAGTTCGTGTTGACTTGCTATCCTAATTTTAATTCGAAAATGAAACGTTTAATTTTTTCTCATTAAATTATTTTATTTGTTGGAATAATTTTTTATTTTTAATCAATTAAGTTAAAATCTATGGTTAAAAAGTTAATAAATATTTTTTGAATTAAAATGAGTTATCAAGTTGGGTTTGGGTTGCTAGCGGGTTGAGTTCAAATCCACAATTTTGACTCATTTATTAAACGGGTCGAGTTTGGGTGACTTGATTTAGGACAATTTCAGATCAGACCTGAACCCGACCCGTTGACCCATTTTGACACCTCTACCATAAATATAAAATGATACTTTTTCATATTTTTTTCTCTTATTTTTAAAATAGCAATTTAATAAATAACATTCATGTCCAATTTTTGATGACATCTAAAATCATAAAAAGCTATGGACATCTTGAATCATGATCTCTAACTAAACTAAATGACTAAAATATAAATAAAAAAATAAAAGATCAAAATCACCTTTGATCTTTTTATATAACTTTACAACATTTAAGTAAGATAACAATAAATCAAATACATTGCATCTGATAGACAATACTCTTTCTCCTATCTGAATAGCATAATCATCTAAGACTTTTTTTGGGTAGTTTAAGTTTTTCTGTTTTTTGTTTTTAAAAGCTCTTTCTGATCAATTATAGTTTCAAAAATATTTTTTCAAAAATAGTTTTTTAAGACAACCAAAAAACACATTATTTTTCACAACCAAAATAGTTGAAAAGTGGTTCCAAACAAAGCCAAAATAACATTGCACCAAACAATCCCTAAACATTACCTGTTGCATTGAATCCACTTCTTTGGCGCCTTCGACGGATTCACATGTAGAGCTCGCTGAACCTCTGGCAATCCGAGATAGGCAGCAACATCCTCTTCTTGACATTCATAATACTCATCAACCTGAACAAAACAACAAATTAAGCCAAACAGGCAAGCAAAAAACACCATGATTTACTTCCAAAACTCCTTACAGGCAATCTTGGCGTTGTGATTTCTGATAACCTGCAAATTTTTGCAGTGAGATCAAACATATAAAGCGGAGCAACAACCCTTCCTGTTCTCTGTGCCACAGCAATGCAACCCTTCCTCGTCGAATTCTTTATGCAATATTTCTCTATATTATCATACATCCTCTGCGAAAGCATACCATGGCTCCACAGATGATCGAAAAATCCCCACCGGTCCTCATCAGCATCCAAAATCACGTTTTGCAGCTGCAGAAAGTAAAAAACAACAGGGGTAAATCATCAAACACCTTGTGTGTATAACTTCGTAGGGCAGGGAGATGCTTACGATGAGGCCTTTGAGATTGATGGCAGGATATTTTCCTGCGCGATTGCGGTTGTGGATGAGTTGGGCGAGTTGGGGGATGTAGTTGCCAGCGTAACCCTCGCCGCCGAGGTAGACTTTCCGGGCGGCATATTCGGGGAAGCGGGCGAGCCAGTTGACTAAGAAACGGAGGTTGTCGGCGGCTACTGTGGCGTCGTTGTAGTTCTGATAGTCGGAGGGAGTGTCGGAGTAGGAGAAGCCGGTACCGACGGGGGAGTCCACGTATAGGACATGAGCAACTACGGATCACATCAAGCATTAGGGAAATTTTTTAAAAGATCACTGTACATGTTTAAATAAGATGAAGAAACATAATTAAAAAGAAATTTAAAGAGGGTCAAAATCGTAAAATTGATCATATTTTAGCAGAAAATGCAAATCAGTTTCTGATTTTCTTCAAAAAACAGAAAATAATCAAAGATTTTCTAAGAAAACTCAAAACTGTTTTGCATTTTTTATATAAAATATGATTTAATATAATATTTGATAAATATTATATATAATATTTAAAATATATATATAATAAAGTTTAAAATGTTAAATATAATTTAATAAGCTAATTAAAATTAATAAAATTTACTGATTAAATGGGTAATGAAAATTATATAAAACTAGTAAAATTTAATTAAATTTACATTTCATTTGCTAATTTAGCTATAATACCCATTTGCTCTTAAATTTTCATCTATTTATAAATATATATGATGTCATATTAAATCTTAAAATTAATTTTAATTGTTTAATTATAAAATATATTATGTTGTATTAAAAATATTAAAAATTATTAATTCTAGTTAGCATATTAAATTATATTTAATATTTTAAACTTTATTATATTAATTTCTTAAATATTACTCCTATTTCAAAGAAAACCAAAACTGATTTGCATTTTTTGCTAAAACTTATTGAGTTTTGACTTTTGAGATTTTGATACTTTTTAAAATTTTCTTTAATTACATTTCTTCTTCTTAATTAAACATGTAAGGTGATCCTTTTAAAAAAATTACCTTCACAATTATTACCCGAACAAAGTTAGTTTGTTGGATAAGAACAAATTTTGGGTCACATATAACGAAAATTTTAACAAAATAAATTTTATGATCATTAAAATTATTTTAAGATGTATATAATATAAAATTTGATAGATTAATTAAAAACTATATTTATTTAGAAATAAATTTAATGATCATAAAATTTATACAAAACAAAATTTAATCAAATATTTTGATCTAAAATTTTCTATTATATAAAAAAAATTATCCTGGAAATATACCAAATTTATATTAAAAAATTCGGATGAAAATATTCCAGCACAAATTTAATCAAAATGATTTTTGCAGTTTTTTTAATATGACTCTAAATGATTAGTAATTACTAAATTAATTTTAAAGTAAATTTATGATTAATAAAATTATTCTGATTAAATTGGTATCAATATATTTTCTACCAAAATTTTATCTATGTTTTAATATTAATAAAAAAACACAATTAAATATATTATTATATTAAAAAATGCAAAGGAAATTTGAACGAGGAATTAATTACTAACATTGATTCCAAGCATGAGAGGATTCTGCCACAGCCTTCCCTCCTGGCGCCACAACCAGAGGACCGTGCTCAAGGAAAGCACCAGAGCCTACGGAGGAGCAACCAGGCCCGCCATTAATCCACATGAATATCGGAATTTCGCTAGCATTAACAGTCTTCTTGGACTCGGTGAAGTAGTAGAAGAAGAACCGGCCAGCCTTCTCGTCGACGGGGACGTAGCCGGAGTACTGCCGGGCAACAACGCCTTTGGGTTGACCGGGGAGGGCGGATATTAGATCTGAATCCTTCGATCCAGGTTTTGAGGAAGTAGAAACGTCGGGGAGGAAGGAGAGGTTCCAAGGGCGGGCGGTGCCGGAGCCGATTTTTGGGAGGATGAAGTCGAGGATGAGGCGGCCGGTGGTGGCGGAGGATGGGGAGAGGAAGAGGAATAGGAGGAGAAGGAGGAGGAGATCAGGAAGGAGAGTCTTCATGGTGGTGATGGCAGAGAGAGAGAGGAGGGGAAGGGAAAGGAGCGTTATGGGCCGTCTTATAGGAGATGGTGGTTTCGCCGGAGCGCGTCAGTTTGCTCCTTTTGGCGGTGAGGTTTGGGAGTTTAAATTTCTGTTCAGGTGGAGGAGCTGATGAAAAATAGAACAAAAAATCTGTTAGAATTTCAGAATTATTTCAGAATAAATTTGAATTATCAGATTTATTTTAATTTTTTATTAAATTAAAAATACGAAGGAGTTAGCCCAGTTTATGGTTCTATTGGTTAGCATCAAGGAAACAAACTTACTTAAGGGTATTGAGATCCAAATTGAATTTGGATGAGTTTTATATGTTAGTTTTGTATGGAATCTGATTGTGGTGATTAGGTTGTAATGTTAACTTCGACCTGAATTCCCCGTAGGGGAGCAACGCTCCTCTTGCTCAATGGTGTGGGGGCGAAGTCCCCAAAAAAATTTTTTTTTTCTATTCATGTAGTCGTATACTTCCACCGTGTTGTATGGAGTGGTGCAGCGCTTCAAACTCGGGCTAGAGATGGAGAGTGAAGTACTATGGCACTCCAAACCCCACCGTGATGCTCCAAGCCCTAGCACCAAATTTATTATTTTGTGCGGAGTGCGTAGGGCATCCGGAGACCAATAAAAATGCTCCACGTCACCTCATTGCTGGTACCCATCACCTCATTGCTAGGTACCCAGCTCGATACCCGCACTCGGTACCCTAGGTACTGCTGGGTACCCAGTACTTAACCGGACGATTCTCCATCCGGTGTCCGTATAGAATAAAAGCTCCTAGCACCATGACAGTAAGGTGGGTGGATCAGTTCAATGAGTCATAAGAAATGTAAATATGTGCAAAATGAGGGATAATTTCCCCTCTACTATAGCAAATTGGAAAAAAAAATATATATAGCTCAAAATATTCAGATTAAGTTTCAAGCATAATTAAATTTATTCTAAACTTTTTGAAATATGTAATTAATTAATAAAAAAATTAAAATTTATGTTATAATTATCATAAAATGAATTTCCCAAACAAAAATTATCATAAAATAAATTAAGCAATTTTAAAACATATCCAAACGAAGAAAAAAAAAAACTGAATAAATTTGATTTCTGGTTAAACAAATAACTAATTGCAGGATTTGCAGTTTCTGCTTGTTGTGTTGTTAACGTCCATTTAGACATTTGTTTCTACTCTCACAGATATTTTATTTTGCTAATTTCAGCATTATTTTATCATTTTTTTAATATTTTACTTATTATATTTTTATTCTGAGTTGGTTTCTATTTTTATTTTTATATATTTTTTGCAACCATAATTTTTATTCTGTGTCTGCAAAAATAGTTTTCCTTAGATAAATTTAAAAAATTAACAAAAAATACATAATCTAAATAGTCACTATTTTTTATTATATATCTATCACAAAAAAAATATTATAACACATAAATGTTCGATGCTATTTACATATTATAACACCTATTTTTTATTATATATCTGTCACAACCATTGATATTTGATGCTTATCTTTTGAACTCTAATCTTCCCTCCAATTAGGAGTAAGGCCAAGATCAAAACTTATCCTCTCTCAATATTCACATTCTAATCAATCATTGCTTCTAACCATTAAAATTTGAAGTGCATGAAGTACTAACATTACAGGCATATCTTCTGGATCATTTTCGTCCGTTCTTAAAAAGAAAAAAAAAGTCCGTTCTTTCAAGAGCACAACTTAGTCAACCACCCACTGGTCCCACAATCTCTTAATTTTGACACTCTCATCAATCATCACCACATGCCTACCAATGCATCTAATGTCTAATTCTCAGCTTCATAGTCATCCAATATATCCTCTTATCAAGAGAATGGCCAAATCATTTGCCACTGTCATTTAATGTCTATGATTCTCATGTATCACTGCCAACCATCAACTACTGACTAACATCTAATGTTCGTCAATCACAAACATCTAAAGCCTAAACTCTCAATCCCCCATATCAAGAAAATAACAAGAATGATCATTTATTATCATTTAACTTTTGGTGTTTTCCATTAATGGCTACTCGATATCTAACAATGACTGACATTCAACATTTGTCAATCATCAATGTTGCACTCATCCTCTTGTGTTGAGCTGGAGTAAATTCAGTGATGTTAGGGTAATCTAATTATGATCATTTGGTGTCAAACAATCTATTAGGTTACATAAGAGATTGATTGGAGGGTCAAGCTTAGTCCAATATAGGTCAACTAATTAACTCGGGTTTGGCCTTAAGGCTGTTTAGTTTAAGAACCTTGAGATAGATACAAAAACACTACTATTCCGACCAAGCAGGTGAGTCCAAGAAGTCAAAGACTAAAATTTAATTTCGAGCTAATTCAATTTCAAATCAAAATGGGCTCAAATACATATAGGCTAATTATAGCTCCGAAGCATGTACTATTATTAATAGATCAAAATACCTCAATGTCTCACCCAAGCCAATTGAGGTAGTCTGCATTCAAACTACTGCATTAAATAAATAAAACTATTGATGTATGGAACAAAGTCAATACAAATTTTTTTTTTTTATTTAAATATTTACCATATAAACTTTTAAGGCACCCATTAAAAGAGAAGCATAATACCAAGTTAAGTATTGCAGAGATGAGGATACTCAGGTGGATGAGTGGGTTTACCCTTAGAGATAGGATACGAAATGAGCATATACATGAAAAGGTCGGAGTTGCGCTAGTGGAAGATAAGATTAGATAGAGTCGTCTTAGATGGTTTGGTCACATAAAACGGCGACCTTCTGATGACCCGATTAGGAAAGTAGATGTATTAGATTTTGACTTATGTTAAGAAAAGTAGATGTAGCCCTAAAAAGATTTAGTTAGAAAATATTAGAAATGATTTTTCTTTATTAGATTTAAACAAGAATATGACTTTTAACACGACACAATGAAGAAAAAAGATTCATATAGCCAACCCCACATAATGGGATAAAGACTTGATATTGTTGTTGTACTCTATCAACACCATTTCTCACGCACAGAAAGGGAAAGTTGCAACGAGAAATTTGGGATCCCACAACTAAACAGAAGCAAGAAAACTGTTTCAAATGAAGTCTAATTCCCTAGCAAACATATTATTTGCCAATTTAAGATGCATGAAGGCAAGCCATCCATATGCACACAGCATCTACGAGAACTCTGTCACACAAATGTTGACAATTAAGAATTCAGACAATAAATAAATTTTATCTCAAAATATTTCTTTGTGGCACTACAAATGGCATTCATTAAAAATGTTTAATATCAATGACATCATGAACAGCGTTCAAGAAATACAACTTACTATTTTAGTTTGTGTTCGATCCAAAATAAACTACACCGCACAGAAAAATATATTTTTCTCGCTATACATTATACATTGCGGTATAATACACCAAACAAATTACAAATTAATTCAATCGAACGGTCATCCTCCTGCCAGCAAATCCATCATTGAACATTGCAGAATAGCATATCGACCAAGATGCTAAATAGCAGCTTCTGCATCCGTATCTATAAATTCCCAAATATCTGGAATACATTTTTCAGCTGAAATGGCGACCACCTGACGAGAAAATCATTCTGCAACAAAAAGTACTTAAGACTGTGATTTCTTTGGTGTTCTATTTTTCAATGACATGACAAGTTTCTGTCTCTCTCCTTCCACCTCTGCAAATTGCAGGCTTAGCTGAGAGTATCTACCATGCATCTCTTGTAATTGGGTTTCTATAGCAGCATTTCTTTTCTTCAGCTCAATCATATCTTTTATCAATTCATTGATGTCTTTGAAGCTCTGGAATATTGCCTCATCATCATTGTGTTGCTTTAGGAATGAGCTGAAGCGCATCAATGCAGAACACAAGTGATCAAGGGTTACATCTTAGTAATGGGGTGGTTTAATACATAATAGAAATGGATGACCACTTAGGGTTTAGTACTGCCGAATGAAGATAAAACTGGATATTAGCTGCAATAAGATTCAATGAAGGGTTGAAGCTACAAATTTATGTAGGCTGCAGGGTGAAATTATTCTGTGCGGATGTCAAATACCGTTCAGAGACCAATCAGAATGCGCCACGTCGCTCCCTGCTCGGTATCCGGCTAGGTATTGCGGCTCGGTACTGCTGATGTGGTGCATTCTGGTTGATCTTCGGACGATAAAGTGCGTTCGGTGCCCGCATAGAATAATTTTTCAGCTGCAGGACAGGCCGAGAGATGACGGTAATTGTTGCAAGTATGAATTTATGTTGAGGATAAAGATTAATAAGACTATGAAATTAAAAATAAAAAAAATATCAGTTGGACCTTAATGAGTTGAGAGTACTAGAAAATACTCTTAAGTTAAAAAAAGACCTAGCTATAGCTTGTAAACCAAAAACGGTCAGTTTAGTGAAACTAATTGCAGCAAATTTGTGCAATAATGAACTGTTATAAGCAGCAAGTTATGTGGGTATACAAGAATGCAAACATGAGGTCTCATATAAGCGAAAAAGAAAAATAAATACCATAACATTTACCTCTGGATATGACTTCCTGATTTCTTAACTTGTAATGCTTCCGCAAGCTCAAGCTCCAGAGCCAGTACCCTTTCTAATGCATTTCCATAACTAGTGAGTTTTTTATATGAAGGGAAAATACTTCCCAATTGTTCATTTGCCTAGCAAGAATCAAGGTCATAAGTTAATTTGATAAAAAGTTACCAATAAGTAATGAGTAATGAGTTTGACAGCAGGGCCTAGTCCATAATATTATTACGGAGCTAAACTGAGTTTCTTTTCATGCATACCATTTCTAGTTGTGCTAATTCTCTATGTAGATCTTGAAGATCAGCATCAGAGTGATCCTCTTCAAATCCAAGATCAGATGACAGGTTCTCATTTCTCAAACTTTGCAACTGCATGCATAGTAAAGGGAACATGACAAAACAAACCTAGAAATAAATCCTAATTAGCATGAGAATAGCATATTTAGAAGCAAATTGGGCCTTGTTCGACCCCCCGTTATTTCTTCACTCCCTTTAGAATTCAACGTAGCTATAAACCAGTTTTCATATCCACATTTTGCTTCACCGCAGAGATGTCTTTCAATTGCCTTCAATTTTTACGTTCTCTTCTGATTTTCGAACCATCATATTGTTTAAAACAGAAAAAAAAAACTGAACTATCATCCCTTATGTTATTGGATAGCTAAATTCAATGTTAAAATCACTTATGTTGTCCCACGATCGCAACTATCCTAACTAATAACTCATGTAAAGGCATTAAGGCATAAGGCATAGTTTACCCCGAAGAGTAACAGCATTAATAGCGAGTCGTTTTGTTCACCAAAATGATGATATACCTGTTTATGAAGAAGCTCCATGCCAGTCATTAGTTTCTGTTGTTCTCTGAAGTGTTCTTTAAAATGGGCAATCTGTGTTGCATTATTTTCCAACAGTGTCGACCGCTCTGCCACTGGTTCCTTTAGAAGATTTTTCTGTCAAACAATATGAACAAAAACTCTAAAACAAACTTGAAAACGGCATCTACTACAAATAAAGCATAAAAATATCCTTCTTAATACATTATTGACAAGAAAGTAATTGACAGTGATAGAACCCCAAACATTAGTAATTTAAGAGAAAGCGTGCCATGAGGCTGATACACGGGGCCAGCCAGCTGGCCCAGCTTGGACGGAGCCAGGGGTTTCTTCTCTTTTGTTTCCTGCTTTAACTTCCAAGATGCATCAAAGGCCTCAAATTTAAAAGAAAAGGAGCAACAGCGCATAAAAAAATATTGTATGTGATGATATTATTTGATATACTGTTATATATAAAAAATAAATCCAATAATGGCAAAAAGCTTTAATCATAGATAAAAAATCAACCATGTTGTTGAATGACAGAACGTTATGCAACAACTAATTTACTAACCTAATATTTTCACAAGAAGAACCACAAACTTAAAGAGAAAATTCTTTCGGAAATAACACTCATCCAAACTGAAGCATCTTCTATTTGTTAGAATCTCCACCACTTTAATGAATTTCAAACCATCTAATATTACTATCACTGGAACTTTAATCACTTCAAATGGAATACGAAACAAGCAAAGCATGAGTTAGAATTCACAGGAGCAATTGGCAAACAGAAAAGTATGTTAAGGCAAGATGTATTACTTAATAAATTAGGTTTTCTTGTTTAAACTTCAATTTCAAAGAATAATATCAGTTTGCCAACACTCATATATAAGTATTTGTTTATGCTAGTAAACTTCATATCATCTAAATCCCAGAATGGGCTAGATTAAATTGTCTCACTTAGAAGATCTCTACCAACCTTGGCCGCTTGATCTTCAGAGCAGATGCCACATGCACTCGATGGATCATCATACATAACTGAAATGCCAAGACGACAATCATCTAGAAGTTCCCCAATTAATGTGGCATCTGGCTTATGTGCTTCATAATTTCTTTCAGGTCTGGTCCCCGTGGTAGATGCCATATTCTCAAGCAAGCGTTTCACCAAGTCCAGTTCTACTCTAATTTTTTCTCTTTCATCACAGGTCTCCTTCAACGAATTTTGAAGTCTTAGCTTTTCTTCCTTGCAGCACTCGAGGCTTAAAATAGTGCATTCCAACTCAGCCTTCATTCTGTCATAAGCTTTAATCAATTCTCTCCGATCAGCCACAACAGTTTGTAGTTCAGCCTCAAGGTCAGATAATAGAACTGAAATTTCTTCATTTCTTTTGGCAAGAGAAGCCTCACTTTTCTTTCTTTTCTCGTTATCATCAAGAGAATTTTGCAACTTCATCAGCATTTCCTCAGCATATTTTCTGGATACAAAGCACTGATTTTTCAACTCGTGTATCTTGGACTCATATTGTTCCTTAATAAATGCTATTCTAAGTGACTCCTGGCCGACAAGGGAAGACCCCTCGGACTCTCTTCTTTCACGAGCATGATGAGACTCAGCATCGGCTTTGTCTTTAAGCTCTCTAAGATGGATAGAAAGATTCTTGAACTCCTCTGTCTTCAAAATCTGCTCTGAGAGCTTCCGATTGAGCTCACTGTGTTGCTCTCTTAATTTTCTCAGTTCATAGTCGCATTCCTCAAATAAAGCTGCATGTGTTTTTTGTTCACTTAATTTTGACCTAAGAAAAACCACTATTAAATCTAACTCAACTTTTGATAACTCAAGTTCATCTAACTCCTCCAACCTCAGCAACATGCTTTTTAACGAACAGATTTCATCCTCATATTTTCGTTTCTCCTTGGCATAATTAGCTTCAGAAATTGCAGCTTTCATCTTGAGATCTTCAAATTCAGCCCGATTTATCGTGTTTGCATCGACGTAGGCTAGTAGTCTTTCTTTTTCACCATGAAGGACTTCAAGTGTGGATTTTGCTGATAGGAGATCAGTTGACAACCTTTCTCTTTCAGCCATCAATTCCGCTTCACTGGCAACGTATTTTTCTAGTGAAGCAATGACATCTAAATACTTTAAATGGAGCTGCTCAATTATGCTTTTTGATGTCTTCTGATGAACAACAAACTCTTCAATTTTAGAATAGAGTTGGTTTCTGATGAAAGTTAATTCAACATCAGCAGATATTGAATGCCCAAAAGCTGTGATCAAATGATTTTCCATATTAGCAACTTCAAATTTAATGAATGAAGTTTCAGCATCCCTTTCTCTCTCTCTTTCTTTACAAAGCTCCACATGCTGCACATCTCTTTCCAGATCCAGAACCCTCGTCCTAAGATAGCACAATTCATCATTCTGCTCATTGAAGGACAGGAGTTGCTGACTTGTCTCCACCACTTGTAACTTAAGATCTGCAACTGAAACCTCAAGATCATCTCTTATTTTTCTTTCAGACTGCAGTTTATCCTCGGCATAATGCAAACTATCTTTCAAGCTAGAGATCTCATATTCCAATTTCACGGATGCCTCATTGCAAGACTGGATGGAAAACAACAAGTCCCTGTTTTCCTGCATTAAATCTGTAAGTCTCAACTTAGTATTTGCAAGCTCCTCATTAACAACGCCCTCTGTAGCAAGCAATTTTTTACTGAAATCTCTGCATTCATCAGTAGCTAGCTGCAGTTCAACTTCCAGAATAGACATATTTGACAACAATTTTCTATTTTCCAATATGTGCCCTTCTTCAGCTTCCTTGCTAAGCTTAAGTTTCTTTACTGCCTCTTGAAGCTCTATCTCTAAATCTTGAACTTTGGTTCTTGAATGCTCAAGCTTTGTCCTTACCTCTTCCAACTCAGAGTCAAACTTCTGTTTCATGTATGAGATATGTGATTCTCTCTCATTTAATGTACGTTGATCAATCTCCCTTTGCTCCTCTGCCACTTTTTTCTCTTGCTGGATACTAAATAGCCTACAAGATACTTTATGTTGGAACTGCTGTAAGTGAGAAATTATGGCATCATAGTTTTCACTATCTAATTCCTCCTTTACAAATACATCATCAAAGATAGAATCACAAATTTGCTGACTACAAAAAATAACACAATTACAAAGATCTCGCAACTTGTCTTGAATATTTGTGGCACCTCTTTGGAGATCAGAGTTCAGAGAGCACTTTATCTCATATTGCTCCTTCAGTGACTTAAATTCTTCGGTTAAGGAGCTAACTTTACTTTGAAGATAGTCTCTTTGTGTGTTTTCTTCTTTCAGCATATTTTTAAGCTCAATATTTTCAGCAGCACATGCCTTATACTTGCTTTCAGAAACTCCAAAATCTGCTATCAAACTCTGGCAATCTGCCACTTTCTGCACAAGAAAACTATTCTCATATAAAACATCATTAAGTTTTACTTCCATAATATGATTTTTGGATACTAACTCATTATATCTACTGATGCATTTTTCTTCAGCCTCTCTTAATATCCTAGACTCATCCAAGGCAGCTTGCATCTCAAGGATCAGAAATTCATTGTCATTTGTACAGTGTTTTATTTTCTCTTGAAGTTCAACTAACTTGACATTCATGTGACCAATCCCAGGAAATACCTCACGGAATGTTTCTTGTAAAACCTGTGCATAAACTTCCCAATGCATGTAAAGCATGACAACTTCTGAAAGTTCACCTCCAGAAGTTGCGTGGAGCTGTTTCAACATGTCAAGTGACATTTCTATCTCTTTCGAACCAGCCCTATAATCAAATCGTTGTTTTTCTGGTGGAGGATAGTGATAAACATCCTTCATATATTCAGCATTGTCAGATATTTGAGAATAATCAATGGGCTTTTCGACATTCAAATTGTAAAGACAACCGCTCCTAAGTTTTTCCATCAATGAATTATGGGAAAGTGAGGGATCCTTTCTATCCTGCATGAAATCATGTATGGAAGCAGCTGAGGGTATGTCATGCAACTTTAATGCATTAGCCGAAGCATTTGGCTCTTCATTGACATGGAATTCCATGGATAAACCAGTTTGAGATGCGCCTTTATTTTCCTCTTTGGAAGAAAAATTGTTGAGCATTCTGTGATTGGAATTTTCGGATACACCATTAATTATTGCAGATAACTCCTGATCACCATTTGCCAAAGAAATGTCATGCTGAATTTCAGCAAGAGCTAGTTTCTGTTGTTTTTGGTTAGAAGCAGCCAACCATTCACCTCTATGCCAAAGTTGCATCTCCTCTGAATAGTTATCACGATGTTGTTCGGTAGCATCAGCAAGTGCTTGCTTTGCAAGGCTCTGATTTGCCTCATACATTGACAGAACTTGGAAGGAAAGCAGTTCAAGGTCTTTCTGCAATCGGTCAACTGCTATGGCATAGTTCCACCGGACCCTTTTCAGCATTGTCTCAGAGGAAATAGCCCTCTTCTCAAGTTCTTTTATGAAAGATTCTAAGTTACGCCGATCTTCAGCAAATCTTATTAACTGACCATTCAATTCTTCAAGTAATTTTTCATTTTGATTTTGAAGATCAGAAATCGTATAAAAGCAAGATGCATGTTCGGCCTTAAGGTTTTCCAGCTGATCTGATGTTTGTTTCTGTCTTTCCTCAAGTTCATGAATAAGTGCTTCATAGTAACACTCCATTTGAGTCATCCTACCAGCAAGACTTCTATTCTCAGTGTTTGATATATCCAATTGTTCTGAAAGTTCAACCATTTTCTTCTCCTTAATGCCTGCGTCAACAACATTTTCCTTAAAAAATGGCTACTGCTCAAGGAAAAATACTTGGTGATCATTTAAGCACAGAAACATACCTTCTGAATAAAGAATATCAGCAAAACAAGTTACATCATCCTGTCCGTGGACATGTTGCTGAGATGGTGAAACCGATGAATATTGATTTTTTCTTGTCTGTCTTCCACTCACATGTTCTACAGACAATTCCTGGGTAATACTTTGTTTAAGATTCTGAATCAAGCTGCCCAGAACACTAAATTCTGAATAGATATAATCGAATACATTGCCATCATACGCTAAGCATGCCTTATTTTGAATCTGCTGAGCTTTACATTCAATAAGAAAAATACCCTGAAGCAACTTTGACTGGAAATCACTAGGTTGGTTGTTGTGCCCTGCATCAAGTGTACTCTCAAATGAGGCCTCCTCTGGGAAGCATTTCACCTGCACAGCTGAAGGGGTTTTCCTTCTAGAACTATGTTGAGAAGCTGAAGTAGCCTTCAGCACATCAAGGTCATTTTTGAACTTCCAATACTCAGATTTGAGTATGTTGAATTCTCCAGCAAGCTTTTCCCCTGAGGAAAGCTCCATGGCAAGTTGTTGAGCTAAATGTTGTGTTTCGGAAGATAATTCATCAGATATATTTTGCAATGACTTCGCTTCAGATTTAAGCTGCAAAATTGCTGACTCGGCCACTTGTACTCTTGCATTCAGTGTAGCACTGTCTTCAAAAGTAGAAGGTAAATCATTATCAATCGAGTAGTCTGAACTCCAACCATGACTCCAATGGTTGCCTAGCTGGCTTGAAAGCTGCTTGTAATTGTTCTCTCCTTTCCCTGTGCTTGAGCTATGAACTGGTGTAAATTCAACTGCATCGCCAGAAGCCCTGCTCTTGAGACCATCAAGTTCAGCCAAGCCAGAAAAATCATTCTTTTCAACATATAAACTTTCTGAGGTGTATGATGAACCATCAACTCCAGCAGCTGAATCTTCGTACTCTTCATCCAACTCACCCACCTCCTCAAGAGGAGGAAGCCCTGTACAATCGCCCTTGAACCTGCCCCTTGCATTAACCTACTTGAAAGGCATTATAAACATGTAAGTAATAACAGAACCAGACAATAAATTAAATTAATCAAATTTAATCTTGAAAAAGAAGTTTGTCCCAGTATGAATGTTTCTGTAAATAATGACACCATCTGTGAGAAAGATATACATATGAAGTGAACTAGAGAACAGAGTTCAATGAATCAAATGTTAACACTTGATATAAGCTTCCAAACACTTAATTAACTGATATTAAAAAAAATTGCTTAAATCATAAAATACTATAGCCGACAAAGCAAAACATTCAACTCAAGGGAAAAAAATGGTGAAAATACCAACATTCTGAAGAAAGTTTGCATGGTGCTTGCACATGTTGTAAACACTTAAAAATTTGCAGTGTCTAAAGTATAAATAATTTACAGTTACTACTTAGAAAATTATACAGAAAATGATGAAAATGGTTGAGAAGCTGCTGTAGTGTGCACTTTATAGACCGATAGAATAGGTTTGTTTTCCTTTGTTAGACTTGTTTTACTAAGTCCATATTCGATCATATGATGCATCAAGAACAAAATAAAACAATGATCCTGAGTTCCAATAGTCCAGAGATAAGAGGGGAAGTGAAAAAAGATGCCTAAAGCAAGGGTAGAACAAAGAAATGACAACAAGGAATGCCAGGAAAAAAAATTATAAATTGGGGTTTAATTACATAAATTTTATCACTATATTCTTAATAGAAATGAATGGGAAGAATGAGAGGTTTTAGGTTTGCAGAGATAGTTCAAAACCTTAGAAAGTGCAAGACTCAGTTACTCCATGAAGCAAATCAAAAGTACCATGAATATGAGACTAATGAGTAATAAATATTTCTTTAACACATTAAAATAAATGAAAAGAAATTAGCGATTCGTATGTTAAGAAAAAAAAAATGTTAAGCGTTAAACTTTCATCTCCTATAGATAAACTCCAAGGGGGCTTTATCAGGCTAATAAACCTAATGATGGATTGGTGGAGGCTGTGGGCCTTACTAGGATGGACGACGTGCAAGAAAAGCGGGGGATCCAAAGGGAAATAATTTCACATTTAATTACTTACCATAGGAAACTAAAATTAGAGGGAATTAGAAGAGTTTATTTAGCGAAGGGGGGACTGAATTGAATTCAAATTTGGGAGAAAATTAGGAAAAATTATTTAAGAAAAGGGGGCTGATTTGAATTCAGATTTAGGAGGAAATTATAAAAGCTTATGTAGGGCTGATTAGATTTTTTATTTTTATTATGTGATTTGTGTGTTTGCTGTATTTTTTCTTAGGAGTTGTTCCTAACGACGCCTAGGGTAGAGCCAATCTACTTCTTAAATAGTATATCAACTTGCATCTTGATTTGTTGTGCCTATATCAATAAAATTAGCCCATAATCTCTTTCTTTCTCAATGATTTCTGCAGCATTTTTCTTTACTATTTTTATGTTTTTGCTGTGTATATCTTGATTTGTTGTACCTATATCAATAAAATTAGCCCATAATCTCTTTCTTTCTCACTGATTTTTGCTGCGTTTTTTCTTTATTATTTTTAGGTTTTTGCTGTGGAGATTGGATTTCTATCACCTTCTTAGTTCCAATAAAGACCCATAGCCGGCCTGCATCAAATAAAAATGTAGCCCATATTGTCATTGATCACTTTGGTTACACCAGTTTGTTACCAGAATTTAGGATCAAGTTTATTACAATGTTTACTTACAGCAAGGAAAATTAATCAGGAAAGAATCTTGTACACTGGCAATTTTTAATAATGTTGAAAGCTATACAAGCTCGAAGCTGGCATGAATAACCCAACTCCAAACTGTACTTCACAAAAACAAACAATCAAAATTGCAATCAAAAGTCAAATCTAAAGTTGGAAATAAAGAGTATTGATGATGAAGATTTAAGATCAAAATAAGGCACATGAGGAAAAATAACTATAATAAAAAAATTATTTTTCAAACAAGAAAGGTTTTGAAAGGATTCCATTTTTTGAAGTTAAGTAGAGAGCACCCACATCTTGAAGATGGATAGAGACAAAAAAAAATTACAAGACGATGTTTCCTGTAAGAACCGGTTTAGACTGACCCATTCAATTGAACCTGCTAGCCTCTAAATAAACCTTGAATCGAGCAAGGGTGAAACAGCGGGCAAGCCGGGACCTGAGCAGGCCTAAAGCGAGCGCGGACGTGACTGGAGGGCTCAGTTCATTGTTTTGAGCGAAGGATCGCGTACGTGAGATAAAAATAACTACTGCTCATAAGAAATAAATATAATTTCATTCGTTCTTGTAGAAGAAAACGCAATAGAGATGTGTTCTATCATAAGAGGCAATTGAGAGGAAAAGAATGAACGTTTGTTGATTTTTCCCTTTTTTTGTGTAAATCTTGTCGTATTACCTCTTCTAAATAGTGAGAGATTGTTTAATTAAAGGCAAAGGAAGAGATTGAAAGCGAAAAGGAAGAAATTTAAAAGATGAGGAAGGAATTTGGGATTTTGAATTTTTCTTCTACTTATGACAACAGAGAAAGAAGTAAATAATTTAAAATTATTAGAATTTACTTAAGTTTATTTTTCTAAATTTTTTTCTAAATGAAAGAAAATATTATTGTGATAGGAAGAATTCAAATGGCATAAACTTCGATTAGACAATGAAGGAAGGGAAATTTCATTTGGAAGGAAAGATTTTATGAGGTAACTTATATTATAAAGATCGATAGTGTAATAATTGTGGAGGAAATTTAATGTTTGTTTTTGGATGATATTTAAGATATCGAATTTTAGTATTATATTTTAGGCATTCAAATTTAGCATTGATTAAGATATTATTATGTAATTTTGAATAGTGAAAGATCTTCATATTGAGTTGAAACAAGTGTTAAAAAATCCACAGCAAAGCTTAGGGTTTGGAAAGAATTAAAGCTTTGAAATATTTAAAGTGGATAATTATAATTGTGTAAAATTTCAATATTGTATTTTTCCTTTCAAATTTGAAAGTAGTATTTTATCTAATTGTTTTACTTATTTTTTGGGACTAGTATGAGTAAAGGAAATGTAAATTCAAATGCATAGATGGTGGTGGAAATTTGATAAAGAAATTGTTACAACTAAAAATGACTGAAAATATATATTGATATTATGTGAGTATGAAGGTATATGAATATGTGAAAGAGATATAAATATATATACATATATATAATACATGTAAATGAAATAGAAAGTGAAGTTGAAAAGTATTTATATACATGACACTTATATACATATAAGAATACAAGTAAAGAATGAGGAAAGTTGATATAACTTATAAATTATAAATAAAAATATAAATGAAGAAATGAAAAAGGAAAAAGAATAGACATGCAAATTACAGGAGTTCATCCCGGTATAATACTAAATGGGAAAGCAACGTACCAGTGCACGTTAAAAGGAAAAAGGAAATGGAAATAAAAATAGTTATATTTTTATTATTACATTTAAACGGTGCTCCTGTAGTAATAAAAATGAAAATGAATAAAATGTCAAATTTTTTAAAAAATGTTAAGTGAAAATGGATAAATGAGACAAAATATGAAATAAGTTATGTGAAATTATAAAACCTATAATACATGAAAGAATATGTATATATTAATTATATAAAGATGAAGAAAGATGTTTATTTATTTTATATGATTATTTTACATGATTTATTGTTGTATATTTAATAATGATTACCCACTGAGTTTATTTTGTAAACTCATTATATTAAACTAACATTTTCAGGTAAGTCTCCTGATAAGGGAAAATGACTGAAAGAAAGGAATACGTCTATAGAAGATGACGCTCAAATGAAAGCAGTAAACAATGTTTATGTTTAAAAGCATATTCATTGTTGTTGCGTCCTGGAGTATTCGCGGCAGCAGAGAAAATATATAGTTTAACGTCTTAGCATTATACGAAGATCCAGCACACAATCAGATAAGAGAGAGGCTGTAGCGTTCATAAGAGACACCAGAGTTTTTACGTGGAAAACCCCTGAAAAGGGGGAAAAACCACGGGGCCTGACCTAGTTTGAATGAATCCACTCGTATTTATAGTCGATTACAAATGAGGCCTTCTTAGGGAGAAGGCCTTGGCTTGATGTCATAAATGTACATCATATAAAGTGTATTACATGGTTGGAGTTACAATAGATGTATTTGTTTTGTCAGCATGACCATAGTGGATATGATGGAGGTCGGAAAGATCGTTGTCTGGTGATGGAGGTCAGAAAGACCTAGTAGGCGCGGAGTCGGGAGGACCGTAGTTGGCAAGGAGACCGGGGTTTGAGTGACCGTTGTCTGGTGATGGAGGTCGGTTGACCATAAGTAGGCAACGGAGGTCGGGAGGACTGTCAGGCAGGAGACGGGGTCTGAAAAATCCGTTGTATGTTGAGGAGGTCGGAATGACCATAGTAGCGAGCGGAGGTTGGGAGGACCGTAAGTCGGCGAGGAACCGGGATCTGAAAGACCTAGTAGAAAGGCGATACTTCTATAGAAGTTGGGGTCAGGTGGTGGCCTAGTGGAGCTCAGGGCTTTGAGTGGTGGTCCGGAGGAAGTCCGGGCCTCAGTGGTGGTCCGGGCGGAGTCCGGGCCTCAAGTGGTTGTCATGGTGGGAAGTTCCGGGCCTTAGGTGGTTGCCGATGGAGCGCATGGCCTTAAGTGGTGGTCCGGAAGAAGTCCGGGCCTCAGGGTTGGTCGCGGAGCAACGGCGTCAGGCGGTGGTCGGCGGAGGTGAGCGGTCTCAATTGGTGGTCGGCGGAGCAATGGCGTCAGCGGTGGTCCGGCGGAGGTGAGGGCCTAAGTGTGGTCCGGCGGAGGAACCGTCAGGATGGTTGTTCGGCGGAGCAACGGCGTCAGGCGGTGGTCGACGGGGTGAGGGCCTTCGGCGGTGGTTCGACGAAGGTGAGGGCCTCTGGCAAAGGTTGAGGGCCTCTGGCAAAGATGAGGGCCTTGATGAAGGTGAGGGCCCTCTGGCAAAAAGGTGAGGGCCTTTGGTGAAGATGAGGGCCTCAAGTGGTTGGTGAGGGCCTCAGGTGTTGGAAAGAAGGACCTCTGGGCAAAGGTGAGGGCTTTGGTGAAGGTTGAGGGGCCTCTGGCAGAAAGTGAGGGCCTCAGGCGGTGGCTTCGACGAAGGCTCCGGCGGTGATCATGCGAAGCTCCGCGGTGGTTCCGGCGAGGCTTCCGGCAAGTTCCAAGGGCGAGGGTGAGTGCCTGCATGTGGTTGTCCCGGCGAAGCTCTGCGATGGTCCGGCGAGGCTCACCTGCCGATGGTCCGGCGAGGCTTTGTGGTGGTCCGGCGAGGCTTCCGGCGGTTGTCGAGGAAAAGGAGCTTCTTCCTCTCTTTCTCTCTTCTCTTCTTGCTTCCTACTCTTTCAAGAGAAGATGGAGGGGTCTATTTATAGATTTTCTGGAGTGGCATGACCCGTAAATAGGTTAGAGATCAAGGTAAATGGGGAGTTGGTTGGATTGAACGGCCGATATTGAACCCCATGATCATGGGCCGTTCGTCAGACATTTGGAGGCCTTAGTGATTTCGGAATTCAGTGATCTTGGGCTCGTTGGATTTGTCTCGTCGAGCCGTTCGATTCGAGTATAAGCTCGTTAAAATCGGAGACCGTTTGGTAACTCAAATTGTGGTTTGAACCTTCCAACAGCGCTTCGGGTCCTTGATTTGGACTCATTTGGGGTCGGATTGAGTTGAATTTGGTGTTGTTGGATTCGTATTTCCGAGACGCTCAGTTCAACTATAAGTTTGTTGAAATCCGAGTTGAGATGGTCTCCGACTTAATTTTGAAGTTTCCGACGTGCTTTTGCCTCGAGATTAGTGCCCGATCAAGGTGATTTTCTGATGACGTATCAATTGTAATAGTAGTGTTAGTGGTTGTTTGAGGAATATTGGTCATTTACTGTTATGTGTAATTGTGAAAAAATGTATTAATCTTTAGACTGTTCGTTCCCCCCTCTTTAGTTCGAGTCTCCAGGACGGATCGTGACATTGCCACCTTTTCACATTATAAATGACAATAAAATAAATAGCAAAGGCCTATAGAAAAGACAATGATTGTATGCCATCGAGAAGTGTGAAGGTTAGAAACTGACGATTGATTTCATTTAAAAATTCAACCATCTTTTAGTTTTGAGGAAGTTTTTTGTCAAAAAGAATTGAAAATCTATGAAGATGAACAATTCTGCTATAAAAATGGTTAGAAATCATAAATTACTACACATTTGTTTGATTAAACTTGATGCTAGTACACATATGTCTATATAAAGATAAAAGAACAGAGCAATAAAGGAATTAAAATGACAATAATAAAAATATGTTAAAATAATAGATGTAATAAATTTATAGTAACTATTAACCACATGTGATAATATTATTGTTTAGGTGACATCTTTTAGCATAATAATTCTAATAATTCTAACAAAAAAAAAAGAGCTGTCTAATGTCACTTGTTTCTTTTAAATGCTAACCTGTTTAGTATCCTAAATCAATTCTACAGTTTTACTTCAAAAAGAAAAAAGAAGAAAATAAAGAATGGTTGCGGAACAAACATTTTATACGATTATAGTCACATTTTATATAATCAAATGTACAAGTCCCTCTTGCCATTGGTTTAATATTTGTTACTACCCAGCACTAAGACAAACACGTCAACCTTTACTCTACGTAACTCAAATCCGATTAATAATCTTGACACATGTAGAAAAAATATTCCCATACAATAGAAGATGCTATATTACAGAAGAATAAGAGAGGATTCGCAAATTGAAGTATGCATATATTTATTTTATATCTATCAAATATTTGACTCAATGGAACTGAAATTTTTTGGGTGTTTTACCAGGAAGGAATAAAACGATATCAATTTGAATAATACCTAAAATAGAACATGAGATTCATCAAAATCTGCAATTAACAATAAGTCTTTTATCCTTCAATTTGAGGTTTTGATTAAATTGGATATACAAACTTAATAAAAAATGAGAGAATTAATTCATATATGGATCCAAAAAAACCATTCGATTGTCTTCACTCAGTGTTAGGCATTAAATAATACTTCTAAAAAAGATTGTTTTTGCAAATACTTGAAGATATAGAATTTCAATATTAAGGTCCGCTGGTTAAGTATAAAGTTAAGCTCAAATGGTTGCTCCAGATGTGACAAATAAAAAGTTAATCCAACCTTATCTATGTGTTCGCTGGTTCCAGCAGGAGCAGGTATAGCCTCATTGTCATGAATTCTCTTGCCAGAAGATGCTTGAAAGCCCTTTACACTAAGCTCCCTTTGTTGCTCAAATTCTCTTAAATGACAGAATCAGATACAAGTCAAGCGTTTTGTAACTACAAAAGCATCTACAAATGTTCAAAATGTCTACCATAGTACTACCTGAACCCTGTTTTTGAGGTTAAAAGTTGCACAGTCACCTGAAATAGAAAAAAAGTATTAAAATTTGAACACTATAAGGGAGAAAAATAATACATACACATAATTATTCATGAAAGGGGTAATTGCCAATTGTTGGTCTAGGTTTTTATGTTTACATTTAAAGTACAGTTCTAAATCTGGTTTAGTCCATTGGTTACCCTTCCTTTACAGTTGCATGGTACCAACAGATGCAGACCATAACATTAAAGTGTGGAACATGGCTAGCCGACGTCTCATACCTCCCTCTGCATGTTTTAGGGTAACAGTTGTATGGTACCAACAGATGCAGATGATAAAATTAAAGTGCAAACATGGCTAGCCACTGTCTCATACCCTTTAGGTTCGAATGGGATAAGAAAAAGTGAGTAACAGGGTTGTTGGCAACTAGCCACCCCTGGAAACACCCTACCTGATCATGGGATTAAATTAGATGGAGCAGCATTAAAATAACTACATTGAACAAAGGACACAGCTTTTTTTTGTCAAGTTCAAATGACCAGCAAATGGAACTAGAAGTTTAATTCAACTTGGACAATAGCATGCCAATATTACAGGCGCCATTATAGGGTGAAAGGAACTCTCATAATACAAAACTTGGAAATCGGAAAGGCATCCTCACATGTAATATTGTGCCAAAGTCACAGCCATGAAGGGGTAATGCAGCGGAGGAAGGCTTCAAAGCATCTACAAAGTCAGCAAGATTGATGATAACCTCTCCAAGCAGACTAGACCGAGAAGAGCCCTGGTAATAAATATTAATCTAAGGTCAGGGAAACATCAGCCATTAATAATATACCAAAGCAGGGTAAGACGTAAAACGTCATTACAGTAGATAACCTTCAAAATAAGTTCTCTGTAAATAACTGGATCATATGTGATATTTTAACCTATGAACATGTCCAAGGAGGCTTTAATACCATTGCCACCACAAGCTTATAGAGCTTCTCATCAAAATCTTTTGTCTTTGGATCCTGGAGAAGTCTTGTAGTTTCATAAATTGGATCTGACCATTTACAGCTCCCATTCCTCACACTAGCTTTGGTTGTCTTTGCAATCGCTTTCCCCGAATCAGTAGGGGAGAATGACACAAATAGTTTGTCCCATCCTGGTTGCGGAATCTGAAGCAATCAGATCAAAAACAGAATGCTTATAATCACATACCAGAAGCAAAGGGGATGATGACAATGAAGATTAAACAAAGTATAACGGAATTTTTAGTCCGCTAAAACATGATTTGTGCTCACATTCTTGTTGCAATATATAAATTGAAGCAGCCCAAGGGTGACGATGTTTAATGTTGTAATTCAATCTCATTTTTATTTTATTGTCATCACGTTCATGGAACAATGATCAATGTGTAAATTATTTTTAAGAAATAGTCCGCAAAATATGGAATGGGCATTAATAAATTGATATATATGTATTGAAGATCATGTTTATTTTCAAGTATAAGTTCCAAATTAGTAAAAAAAATATGAGCATGATAATGCGTCTTGGAAGCAAAATTAGCAAAATAGAGAAGAAGAAATACATAAACACAAATAGGGGCAGATTTTTTATTACTCCAACTAATAATGAAAGATACAATTAATCTACTATTCGAAACGTAGATCGGCTCTCCCACAAACCCTAACCACCGCTAGGAAACTCACACCAACAAGAGGAAAATAAACTCAACATACATAATATGAAAACCCTAGATAAAACTCCTCCTTAAATAGCCCTAACACACAATTAAAACCTCCCTAAAATATTAAAATCTTACACAATTAAAACCTTCATAAATTAAAACCTTCCACAATAAAAACCTTCTTAAAATATTAAAACCTTCCACAATTAAAACCTTCATAAATTAAAACCTTCCATAATAAAAACCTTCTTAAAATATTAAAACCTTCCACAATTAAAACTTCTTAAAATATTAAAATCTTAATAAATTAAAATCTTCAACAATAAAAACCTTCATAAATAGTTCCCAATGATTCCTTATATAATGAATAATAACTCCTCTGACTTGGCATATCACATGATTAACAAAACAGAAAACAAGTATAATATTAGATGTGTATTATATAAATTTTGCTCAAGAGTAATGCTATATTACCCCACCAACAGTATTAAAAAAAAAATTTTGATTAGTTAACTGCTAAATTGACATAAAGGGACTGGATGCATTATATGTTCACTTGAGATTATTAAGCTCTCTTTCCATCTCTCTCTACGTCAAGAGCTTTTGTGGGCTTTGCATGGGCATGTAGCCTTTTTCTGTGTTCAATAAAAGGGAAATGTCACAAAGGTTTATGCAGCATAGCATTCCTCTTAATGTATAAATTTGTTTCTAACTATATTATGGCTAAAAAAAGGTAAAATCTTCAAATATTGTTTCAATAAAAATAACATAATTAAAAGAAGAAATTTCAGAAATAGAGCATCTCAATTTTAAATCCTAACTATATATATTGGCCAAGGAGATTGTGCCAAATAGAAAACTATATTAATAGGTGATAAGAGATGAAAACATTAAATGTTGAATATAAAGTTGATCATAATCTATTCTACAATGGAGAAAACATTTTAAAGATGGAGGACTTAGAATTAAAAATTACGACATGCAATTTTATCAGAGATCATATTAAAAAATATCAACATATATTAGATAATAGTTCGAATCGATGAGGTATTCACTAAAAAAAATGAAAATTGAGAACAGCGAAGAAAATGTTTTAACAAAATAGAAGCCTTAGAATTAGTAGAAAAAAACTTAATATGTGACGTATAATTTTAGCGGTGTTATATTGACAATTATCAACCAATATTATTAGATGATAAAGTAATACATAGATGTAACAAATTTAAGTACTTGAATCTATCGTACAAAAGAAATGATAATATAACTTCTAAAGATAAAATTGAATTATTAAAATAGACAAATATCTCAAAAATATTATGTAATAAAAGGATATCAATAAGGCTTAATGGATAACTTCATAAAATTACAATTAGACTGGCGATGTTATACAACAACAACAACAACATCAATCCTTTATCCCACTACGTGGGGTCGGCTACATGAATCTTTTTTCTCCATTGTGTCCTATTAAAAGTCAAATTCTCGTTTAAATCTAAAAAAGAAAGGTCATTTCTAATATTTTCTAACCAAGTCTTTTTAGGTCTACCCCTACCTTTCTGTTACGCCGGCCCAGGAGGGGCCGGCTGGACCGGTCCAGGAGGGACCGGTCTGGGTCTATTCCAGGCGACGGAATAGACCCAGCGGGAGCCAGGCTCTGGGCGGAAACTTGGTGGAGCCCATTATGGGCTAAATGCAAGATTAGGAGGGAAATATTTTTGAACTAAGGGGTGTTTAGGTCATTTGTAATATTCCTTTGTCTTTAATTAGGTGTTTTTGGGAGGGATTTGGATTATCTTGAATTTGAATTGTTTTGAGATCTAGGTTTTGGTGTCTTGGGCTCTTGGCTTCGCCGGAGATCTTTTGGAGAGTTTTTCCTTCCTCTCGAATTGAAGGAAAGTTGTATCTTGCAAGTGCTTTTCATCCATTATCGAAATAAAAGTGTTTGCATCGTTTTCCTGCGCTTTCATCTCAGATTTTTCTTGTATTTTGGCTGTTTTTTCTGCTGTGGACAGCAGATTTTCCTTGGATCTACTTGATCTTGGTGAGAAACACTTGGAAATCCAAGTATTTCCTATCATTTTCCTGCATTTATTTTATAAGCAATGAAAGAATTCTAGCAAATTTTCATCTCGGTGAATGCTTGATTTGCCTTGCTTTTCCACACGATGCCGATTAACTTTGTTCTGCTTATCTATGTGTTGCACATAACTTGCGCTCTCGCACAACTTGCATGCTTCTCCGCGCTCATGCAACTTGTGTTCTTCCATGCTCATTTGCTCTCCGCAGGTTCAAGTCCTGAAAGTGATGAAGATTAAATGAAAATTAGGTATACAATTGTCACAAGTGAGCTTTCTGATTGATAGTAACTTATAATCTAATCAGGCACTAGCAGCATGGAGTCGAGTGCCAGATTTTTTTTGAGAGAGTGACTGAATCTATTTCGACCTTTTTTATGGTAACTCATATGCAATTTAAACATTTTAATTTTTCATGACTTAGATTATAATTGCGAAAGTCATTTTTTCTCGTCATATGATCTAACGCTTTTGAATCTACCAACCAAGTTGTAGTTTGCTTCTTGTTTGTTATCAGGGCGTATGGGAATTTACTTTTCTAAGAAACCAAGATTATTTCATTGATGTTCTAGAATATGCTTTTACTGGGAGAATAGTTGAATGCATTTGATTAATGTTGTTCAATTGGCAGGAGCAGAAAGGAGAGAGCTGGCCCAATTGTCTTTGTTATTGTTTCTCTTTGGAAATTTTTAGCCTAGTATTTCATTATGGATTTTTTATGTTTTGGATCTTGGTTTTAAGCTGATTACTAGAGTCAGAGTTTCTGGCTCCTTCACCACTGGCTTGTTCATGGCAATTTTCATCATCTTTTTTGCGGAAGTTTCTACTTTTTTCTTTCCAAGTGAATGCTTCACATATATTTTTGCCACTCTTATTAGATGAATTTTGCCTTTTTGTGTTTGTGGAGGACCAGTCCGCATGGAGAAGAGAGGCCATATTGAACCCTTTGACCTCCAGGAGTGGAACCTTAATGACTTAGATACCATTTTGAAAATTATAAGAACATGGGAGAGTAAAAATGGAAAATTGTAATATTGAATTTTCCTTGTTCTATGTATAAAATAAGATGATAAGTTATCAATAAATATATAGAGATATAATCATTATGGAAAAAAACAAATATGGACATCAATATTTAATTATATAATTCAAAATTAACTACAGATAAAAATGGAATGCTACTGTCTACATATATTTGGATTGTTGTAGATGAAAAGTTGTTCATGGATTATTGGATATTTATAGAGGTAAAGGTGTTTTCAACATATTATTGAGTTGTTCTAGGTGGAAATATGCTGGCCACATATTTGGGATTATTTTAATAGTTTTCAACAATTTTTTGCCCAACTTTTGCATGCATATCGTATAGCCAATCTAAATGCAACTTTGAAATTTCCTTTTAAGTTTTAAACTAGTTGACTGTATAAGTTATGTTTTTGATATCCCCACCTTTTTTTTTTCATATAAGATTTATAATGTCTTTTAGCAGTAACCAAGTTTGTTAAATAGGTGGTTTTCCCTGCAAGTATCAGGTTTCTAGATTCTTATAGTGATAGTTTGATTTAGTTTTTTTTTTAAATATTTCCAGGTATTGTATGAGTTCTGTGTGTTTCGAAGTTCCAAATGGGTGGCGCTGTGAGGAATGTTTACGGAGTGCTGAAGCTGTTAGTAAAAGACATTTACCAGCTCACCAATTTTCGCACAATAGAACTTGGAGGAAAATTGAAGCTGGCAAAGTAAAGTTTATTACCAACGAAGAAGTGGTTACACTGACATCGTGGAAAAGGTCACATGGAAGAGGAAATCCAAGTGCTTGTGGACACCGTAGTGATTTTGCATATGTTAAGCCTCCCTCAATATCACGGAAGACAGTTGCTCCTACATTACTCTGTTCAAACGCTAATAAAACCCATTTTACACCCAAGAAAGGGTCTGTTTCTGACGTCATTGACATTAAGCCTTCAGAGCACACTATGGCATCAAAACCTGTTAGTAAGGAAAAAGGTTAGGCATAATCTAAATGAACTTTAGATGTCATTAATTAGTTTTATATATGCCTATCTGAGAAGGTATTCCTACAAAATTTGGTGGATGGTTCAGTGCTAAGCTTGCTTGCATACTTTGTATTTTAAATTTTCTTACAGGAAAGACTACTGCCCAAGTTTTCAAAATGGAGCCTGTTGTAGGAAAAGCTAGTACTTTAGCTTGTAACGTTTCTTCTAAACCAAGTGAGGTTATATTTGATACTGTAGATACTTTGCACGCTGATGATGGACAGATAAGCATGGTAGATAAACATATAGGTATGATGAAGATTTATTTGTATATTAAGCCTCCTCTCAAACATGTTAATATTAACCAATATCATCAAATATTCATGTCTTTCTCCATTGATTCTCAATGATTCTTTACT